TATTATGAGTATATTCTACATATATCATAGCATTTAGCAATTAATATTCTCAAAATTTACATGATATACATTCTAAATACACTCATAATACAAGATAAATTCTATTTAATAAGAAATGCTTAATTAAAAATTTGTATCGCTTAATAATAAATAATACAAATTCAGAAAAGAAGCATTTTTTAAATACTTTACTAAACAAAAATGAAATATGTCTCTCAGACATTCAGGGTTGTCTCTGAGATATCTAAAAGAATATCCTTGGGATATCCAGAAACTAAATATAACAGACATCTAAACGATGTGAGAGAGATACCAATGTTTAACTTGGGATATCCCTTGGATAACTGTGGTAGGTCTTAGATATCTGTCAAATGTGTCTTAGATATGCAGCAGACATCAATATCCAAATATCTGCTAGACATCACACAGATGCGACCCCTGGATTTCTGTTGGATATTTCATGGATATTCAGACGTCTTGGGGATCTCTGATGGATATGGCAATATCCAGTTTTTTTATCCAAGAGATCTCTAAGATGTGTTGTGGATATTTGTGGCTGTGTGGATTCAAGTGAAACACGCCAAATCTTAAAAGTAGCCTAACTTAAGACGGGGATTTTGTTACTCGTTTCACCCTCGAGCTTATGATGACGTAGGATCTGTTTATCCAATGAGATTGCTTAAAAAAAATAACAATTTAATACTTAGAAAGCTACAAGCAAACTTTTTATATAGTATAAGATTACATATTACTTACACATCCCAAATAAACTTGAACATCTCAAAACGTGTTTCTGCTGTTAAGGTTATTTTGAAGCATTGAAAATGAGCTCCCAAAAACGACGAGCACCGAATTTTTCTCAAGAAGAGATTGTTTCGATTATCGAAGAATTAGAAGGAAAACGTGAATTGATTTCGGGGCAATTACGCCGCTGCTACAAAACAACGAAAGATATTAAAAACGCGTGGGGTGAGATCGCTGGTGCTCTAAACAGCGTGAGTACCAGTGGTTACATTCGTTCTGGGGAGGAAATTAAAAAAAAAGTGGAAAGATTTAAAATCTTTCGCAAAAACAAAAGCTGCTATGATCCAACAGTACAATAACGGCACAGGAGGAGGTCCTCCTAATGGGGAGTTCTTAAATGATCTTGAATTAAGAGTAATTGTTCTGTTGGGGCAGACAACAATACAAGGAGTCGGTTTCGACAGTGCTAGAGAATTTTAAGCAAAGCCCGTGGTAAGTACCTTGCGTTTTTATATTAATTTTTATAGAATAGTTGTTGTACCGAGTAACTTTGAAATTATCTAGAAATGCAAGTTATTTAAAGTATGTACGTAGGTACTATGATCGAAATAATATTTTTCCAATTGTATTTAAATAATATTTTTCAAAGTAACTCTCTTTTTTTCGTTTTCTTTTTCCACATTAAATCTTCAAAGAATAAAAAACTATTCATTTTGATAGTGTCAATAAATAAACGTTGATAGTTTCACAAAATTTGAAACTACATTAGTGTTTTTATAACAATATCTCTAGCAGACGCCAAGTTTTAAGAATCATAGTCAATTTAAAATGCACTAATGCTTGTTAACCTTAAATATTATTATTTATTATAAAGTATATGTTAAAAATAATGGTGCAGTAGTTCAATTTTTTCTCTGTCGAAGACTTGATAATAATAATTTTTCTTCTTAAAAGGAAAGAGCATCAATTGATGTGGCTGGCACATCTAGCGACTATGATAATAATGTAGACGGCAGTAGAGAGCATGGTAATACTATATTTTCATGTTACCTCTAATTTAAGTTTTCAAAACCTTGTTCTTTATTCTTCTGACAAAAATATTCTGAATTAAATTTTTTTTCAATTTATAAGGAATAGTAATTTTTAAATATTCTTTTAATACCAAGGTTTGTTGATTTAAATCAACTAATTTTTTATATATATATTGATTTAAAAAGTTAAAAAACAATGATTTAAATTATTGATACTTTTATTATTTTTTCCTAGTTTTAAATTTTTTTTTAAATAAATTGCTGGGATTAATTAATTATAGCTAACAATAAGGAACTATTGTATTTATAAAATTCTTAATATTGTGCACATTAATTTCAAATCACAGAATGAAAATGTTTATCGTATTAAATTAAATAACCCAGAATTAGAATTGTGCTATCTCTTTTATCAATAAGTATTTTTTCTCATAATATGTTTACAGTATCTTTCGACATTATCAGATTTTCTACAAAGAAAAATTCCAGATTAAATTCAGACAGATTTTTTAAAACTCTTTTTAGCTTAACTTATCTCTTTTAATATAAAAAAATGAATATTTTGATATTAGATTCAATATTTATTTTTTGATAACTGATTACATTTATAAAATCTGTTAAATTTTTTTTGTCATTTTAAAAATTAAGAGAAAAAAAAAAAGAAATCACAAATTTAAACTAAAATGATGGTTTGCTAATTGAAACTTTGTTTTAATAGTTAATGCATTCTATAAATTCTCTATTTCATCTGTTCTTTAAATTTTTATCATGCATTTGTTTCAGAAAGGTTGCTATGCATTCAAAGCTATGCATTGTAATAAAAATTGTTTTAGGTAGTTAGAGCTTCTAAATTATTGTTATAATATAGTTTTAATAATATTTTAATTATTTATAAAGTTTTTATATACTATAAACATTTATAAAGTTTTTTAATCATAAATTGAAGTTCTTATACTGTATTTGAATAAAAATAAAATCCGATTTAAATAAATAAAAAATCACGAACCCTGTTTAATACTCAGAAATCTTTTTCTTTATTACTGATTTATTTCTATAACATCAAGAAACGAACATAAATGTTTATTATAACATTATTGATGTTATCAGTTTTTTCTTTATTTTGATCTTAGTGTTTTGAGCAAATAGAAGCGTAAAATGTGTTATGCTACATCCCTAAGTCTTGATAATCTCACAATAACCCTACCTTATAAAAATTTTGAATTGTTTAATCATTTTCTTTATTTGACAATAACTTTAATATATCTGGGTTAATGATCTCAATCAATTATTCTTGTGTGTCTTTAATTTTATCTTTTTACATTATTTTTCGAAGCTCTATGCCGTATTTGAATTAGGGAGGATGTATATATTATATATACAAGTGTATTATTATAAACGTCAATACCTTAAAATATCTATGCAAGTTCAGTGTGCAATTTAGTTATTGAAGAAGAAGAAAAAAAACGAATTCACGAGATAAAAATTGTGACTACTTAATTTCTTTTAGATTTAGAAGATGTAGAGAATTTTTCTGATTACCCTAATATACCTCTTTCAAACAGTTTTGATTTAAATCAGGTATGGTAGGCATAAAATACATTTGTGTTGAAAATTGTAATATTATGAATTGTTTAAAATAATGTAAACATCTTACATTATCCATTTACATCCAAACCATTTTTCTAGAAAGATTGAGAAGGGAAAAAAAAAAAAACTTAAAGTTAATAATAAAATTTTATCTCCACAAAATTTTTTTAAAATATAGACAGAAAACTTGTAACCAATAAATCTATTCATGAGTAATCAATTTTATTACTCAGAATTATTAGTGAAATCTTGAATTTGTAATTGTTTTCAAATTTTTGGCAGGGGGGGGGGGGAAACTGTATAACATTGTTTATTAAGTGCATAAAAATAAAGTAATCTATCAAAAAAAGATAAGAAATGACTATAAAAAAAATTACTTCTTGGATTTCGAGTGTCACTTATTATTTTTGGTACATTTTGCATGGATTAAAATAGCTTTCATCATTTTACTCAGCTATGAACAATAGAAACATTTTCTTTGGGTGTATTACATTTAATTGTGTTTGCTGAATTTGTTTAGATTTTTATTTTAGAATAAGGCAGACAGTTTTATACAATTTTAAGACCTTTTAAACAAAATATATTTTTGTTTATTGGTAAAATTTACTTAATGCTTATCAAAAATAAACGTTTTAACTTTACTATTTCCTAATTATTTACTATATATTGTAACAAAAATTATTACAGTATTATGCATTTCTTTAAGGAAAACTGGGCCCAATCTAGAATTAAAAGCAGCACTCCCAGAGTCATCCAGCACCGGCAACGGAAAAGAAAGCTGCAGGAAGTGCAGGATGATGAGATGTTAAAAAAATGACATAAAATTTCAATCGGAAAATAACCAGCAGTTAGAAAGAATAAACAAATACTTGGAGAAAATGCAAAATGAACTGAATCTCAAAAATGTTTTACAACTAAAAAAGTTGCAGCTATTATGTAAGGTGTACACAACATAGATCAAGATTCATTGAATTTAAGTGTTGAGAAATAATAATAAAAAATTATGAATGTGAGTGCTAGATTGATTTAAATTTTTTCTGCAGTTTATTGTGGGTAATGAGTTTTAATAACATGCATTATACAGTGTTTGGAAAAACATTTTGTTTTGCAACGAATTTGACTCATGAGTTTAAGAAATTGATATATTATAAGCAAAATAATACTTTAACCGCCAAGATTCTACAAATATCTCTTAAGCCAGTTCCTTTCCACACCGCAAAAAGACTACTAAAAATCTCTCTTCGAACAACATTTGAGGCAAAACTCCAAAAAGCAAATAAAAATAAGGACTGGTTGGAACAAGGAATTAAAGATATTCCGTCACGGCCAAGAGAAATATCTGTGGCCCTTTTTTGCCTTGCCACTGGCCATGACTGTTTATCAAAACACCTGTATAGAATCAAATTCTTTTCAAGCCCCTTTTGTCCAATATGTAACCTACAAGAAGAAATGGACGCTAACCATCTGAGACGTTGCCCTGCACTTCCTCCCTTGTGGGAACGTTATTGGCGGGCGAGATGCATTATTACAGACTCTTTCATTTTGTAGCTTCTGTCCCGTTTTTTGTTCTTTCTTTATATTGTTTCTCAGCTACAAATTTGTCTTTCATGTCTGCCATTGGAAAAAAAAAATAATAATTTAAAGTTTTTTCATGCATAGATATATTTATTAAGTCCCAATTTTTTTCTTCTTCTAAAAAAAAGCTAATATTTGATTGGTTTTTCATGTCAATTTTTTTCTTCCTGATTATGTATAAATTATTCCAATTCTTTCATTCATAAATTATGTTAATAGAATTTATATACTATGAAAATATCATTTTTACAGCTTCTGAACGCAATAAAATTTTTTTGTTTAAACATAAATTTTTATTTATTAAATTAATTCAAATTGATATTACACTATACCATGCATATATTTTTGCACTTTCATTTTGTTAGCTTTTTTGCCCTGTGGCAGAAAGAATTTTCTTTTGACAAGCAAATAAATTTAGTTTTCTTTTCTGCAGAAATTTACATACTATAAAATTTGAATCATGCATTTAGTTAATGACTTTTTGGTGAGCACAATTGTGCACAATTTACGTCAATATTATTGGAAATCGATACATTTCGATTGTATTTTCAGCAGCTATTTATGATTATCAAATAGTTTTTAAATATCAAGTTATATTTATAACAATATAGGAAACTATTTTTTTTACTTTTAGCATAATGTGCAAGCAATGCAAATTATGAATTTTGAAAATTAATCTCAAGTTGGCTAACAGTTATTAACATCTATTTGCTGTGACAGAAAGACCAAAAGTTTAATGGGAAAAACTATTTCTTTTAAAAAAGTTTTAATAATATGTAAATGATAAACAGAATGTAACAGATAAACAGGATTAAAACGTATGCAACCAATAAATAGAATTAGTAAAATTTTCAACTATTTGAAAATTAGATGGTCTTTATAAATCTATCTTCTTTGGAAATTAAATTTATACATGAATCAATTTTTGTCCCATCTTGTTTTTGAAGATTCGAAAAAAAGTTCCTACTTTATTTCACAGTTAGGGACAATAATTAAAGAGCCGTGGAAGCCTTCCTCTCTTCCTTTTTTTTTTATCAAATCTTAGAGATCTCGTTTCTTTTTTTACATTTTATCTGTCTTTCAACAACTGTTTAGCCATTAGGATAATTGAAAAGGAAAATCTAATTTTGAATAAGCTTTTCAAGGACTTAATTTTTTCATTCCGTCAAACTTATTATTGGAAGTTAATAATCACGTGCATACAATTTTATTATCTTATTGATTCTTATTCCACATCTGCTTTATATTCCAAAATTTATTTATTATCAGTTAATTTATTTAAAAAAAAGTCTGTAACGTGACGGAATGACACAAAAAATTTAACTCTTATTTTCTAAATTAAACTTAAGACTATTTTTTAAATGCTTAAATATTGCATTATATGCATAATTTTATCAAAATATTACGAATGAAAGATAAAAAAGAAGAAAAAAAGGAAAATAGAAATGTAAGTGTCTTTCAATAAAGCAATTCAGCACAAATGTGAACAATTCACTTGTCAGCCATGTGGTTACTTTAAAATTCTGACAGAATCAAAAAACTATCAAAAATAAAACAGAAACATGTAAACTTTCACTATTTTTGAACATATTTTTAAATTAAAATATGCAATTTTTTTAAAAAAAAATTTCATTTAGAAGTTGACACTTTCACGGAATTGCCCGTCATCCAAGGTAAGAAACTTATCTGCATTCCATTTTCAATGATTTCATTGAAATTGTAAAAATTAAGATTTGCAATTTTTTTTCATGTATAGTTAAAAAAAAAAAGGGGAAATCCCTAAACATGGATAAGATTACATTTAAAAATTAAAAGTGTGCACTAATAATACAAGACACTACAAAAACGTTTTTACAAATATTTTTAATCAAATCTAAGGCATGAAAACAAAATAATTGCACAAATTTATAGCGATTCTTTCTCGAATTGCTTCCCCTTTCCTCTTCAAAATTATCCTGGAGTTAGGTGGATCGATCTAGGGGATCAGGAATTTCCAGATCATACGGCTCGTCTGGTAGAGGAACACTATGATCCAAACAAATGTTATGCAACACGCTTCCTGCCATTACTATCTTACAGACTTTTTGTGGTGTGTACTGTAAGATGCCACCACTAAGATCAATGAGTTTAAACCTTCCTTTTAAGCACCCGATAGTCTGTTCCACTACGGATCTATCTTCCATATTTATTCTTTACCATATTCAAATGAAAAATAAATAAAATATCATTCTTGCATTTACTCTCTTCTTAACCTAGAAGTATTAATGTGAAGTATATGATTTGCAATTTAACATTAACAATCAAAAGTCAGGTACTTACACTTTGGATATTCATCGAAAATTTATTATTTCGATTTAAAAAAACATTCCAGTCCGGTTGATTGGGCTTGGTTACGTAAACTTGCGTCCCATCAATAACACCGATAATGTTCGGAATGCCACATTTTTCAAAGAATTTCCTCTTTGCTACAGAAGTTGCTCTGGCACCTTGTGGAAATTTGATGAAATTCTCTACAAGTGTCATCATGGCTGTAATTAAAATCCTCAAATATCCTTGAAACACTGGCCTGAGACATTAAAGTAAATGCACTCTCTGCAATTAAATTTTGGAATCCTCCAGACCCTAAAAGACGCAGAGAGGCAAGAACCTAGCACAGAAAAAGAATAAAATGTGCCTGCCGTTTACATGTACATGTGCCTGCTGTTTGTACGATTAGCTTTAGCTTCGTACTCAGTTCTTAAATTTAGTTGATTAAAAGTAAAAATTCTTTAATTAAAAATATTATCCAGCTTGTTTTAAGCTTTATTTTTTATGAAAACAGTGTAAATAATTTATTTTAAATATACAGGGTTATTCATAATTCCCTCCGCCTGTAAACGCCATTTTTCTTAACTACAACTGGCTTCAGTGGTACATGTTACTGCCATCTACCGGCAACTGCTTAAATTAAAACTTGAATACTTTCGGAATAATTTCATATGTTCTTTTTTGCCATATTCGTCTTCGTTTTTTTACTATGACGCTTCGAAATCCCGGAGGGAATTATGAATAACCCTGTATAATAAACTTGCTTTCATAATGAATTTCCTCACGAGAGCCACTTTATCTTAATAGGATCTTGTAAAATGTAAACTCGAAGCTCGTACACAAATATGGGTAATGATGTCAGACAAACTGACCAAACAGACTAGAAACCTGTTGCATTTTGTGTATAACTTGTGACACCAATTTGAGCAAAGGAACAACTGGTGTAATCAGTTTTTAACTTGGAACAGTTTGTGCAAGTACGAATATTGGACTGTACCCATAAATTAAAAGGTTAGTTGGAAAAAGAGTTTTCTATTTGAATCAAAAACTTTAAATCCGCAAAATCTAAAATCGATATTCTTATTGCATAGACCCTATTGATTATTCTTATTGCAAATATAAATTACTATATACATAAGAAAGTGGAAACAAATAGTGCATAAAATAGTTCAATAAGCAATTTCAAATTTATAATTAAAAAAAAATAATGTAATATTATATATACACACTAATTTAATATGCACCCAAATAAGTAGACTTTAAAGGAACTACATTATAACATCAATACCTACATTAGATTCCCATAATAAAAAATTATTAAGAAGCAATAATAGAGTCGCAACATCAGTCAACACTATAGCTAATAGTACAGATACTATCGTTAACGAATAAACAACTTGGTTATTTTTTTCCCCATTGTTTTTAGCATAATTCTGAAGAGCTAGCATCCAAGTGACACAAAATCGAAGAGCGTCTGAATAAAAATTAGGGAAAATCTTGCAAAATAGTCCGGATGGAAGTCCAATGGAAACTTGAGTAATTTTAATTGGTCCATTAAATAGATCGAGGGAAAAATATGATTCTCACACATAGTAAAACGAAAACACTAAAATGTTAATTCATGCATACTTGAACTAAAAATAGATTAAAAGACAGGATGTGAATATTAAAGTGTGATGAAGCTTTTAATTCCGAATAATAGATTAAGAAGAAGATTTAGATAAAGAAATAATATAAAAATATTAGTTGAAGCTTTTTATGTTGCGCTCACAGACACGTACATATACAGGGTGCGTAGCCAAATTATTCAACAAAAAATAAGCACCTTTTAAGAACTTAAAGAAATATAATTTAATTAGGCAAGGTTAGAAAGTTTTTGACAATTGACGGTTTTATATTGTTTTAAACGTCATGTCATGTCAAAAAAAAAAAACCTTTTGGCATAGTTTTTGAATCATTGTTTTGAAATTAAGAATCATGCAAAACAAATGGCGTTTTCATGCGCTACGGACTGACAAAACGGCGAAATAGATTGGGGTGGAATTAATTGTGAAAACGTTGAATAGAACAATGTGAACTGCGTCTTTTTGCATAATTCGAAGCGAAAATCAACATGGTAAATCTGATATTCAAAAAGAGAAAATTAAGCACTTTTTAAAAACACCCAATGAAAAAAGTATCTTTAAGGGCTTTTAAAAAACGAAAATAAGTACCTTTAAGCACTTTTTAAAAACGCTACGCACCCTGTATTTATATAATATGTGTGTGCGTGTGTATTAGTATACAGGATGATAATGATTGTACTATGAGAAATAAAATCGTCATAACTTCGAAACTGTTTGCCTGATCAAGTTCAAACTTCGTGGGGTTGACCGCAGGGCATGACGGGAATTAGTATGCGCAGGCAACGGCCATTTGCAAGTGGAAATGTCACGATACAGTGTGCCTGAGCGCATATCGCTTGTGAACGAATCGCAAGTTTAGATAACTGGTTGCGTTTGTTATGTCGGCTCAAGAACAAGTCTTAAAACATCGAAAAGACACGAGCTGTGTTTGAAACCAGCCCAATTGATTGATTAAATGTAGGGTTTAATGGCACAAAGTCCAAAGAAGGACATGCTGCGCCAAACAAACGGTTTTAAAATAAAGGTAAATGTATATTAGAAATTTTCCTCATTAAAAGTCACACGGAATTTATAAAACTACATACAACGTGACAGAGGTATTCAAAAGTGAGTAAAATCAGATAAAATGTAAATGTAGTAAAGTATTATAAAACAGTTGCATTTAAAGCTGAATAAAATCAGATAAAATTGTGAATAGGATAAAACAGTTATATACAGTATAAAAGACCAATTGCGCGTAGAAACGCAAAAATGTTAGGATGATGCGAGTCACCTAACAAATCCCGCAGAGTTAAAATAGATAAATCATCTAAAATATAAATACTATAAAACAAGATGAAACAGGTTCAAAACGTGAATAAAATCAGATAAAAGTGTAGATAGGACGAAGCAGTTATATACAGTATAAAATATAATTTGCGCGTATGAACGCAAAAATGTTTGGAGGATTTGTTAGGAGACACCCATCATCCTGAGATAAAATAGAACTAGCAAAAATGGTAAGACGATAAAAGTTAAAACATGGGCAAATATTTAAAATATGATGAGTGAGTGTAGTAAATATTTGGCGCAGGAGCTATATCGCGCCTAAAACTAGGTTTAAAAAATCATATAACTTAGACATCATATCATATAACACCTTATCAAAATCATATAACACCTTATATAACTCCAAACACAAGGTTGAGTTCGATTGGTTGGTTGGTTGGATTTTATTGGCGCAAGAGCCAGAAGGTTGAGTTCGAAGAAACTTGGTTAAAATCAAAACCAAGGTGATTTGGCTAAAATCAATATAACTAGGTGAAAACTGATCAATTTATTAAAATTTGAACGAAGTCGAATTATAAAATCCGATGTCTTTGAGGTAAGGTATTAAGTTAGGATGAGGTGTGATTCCAAGTAAAATTGCTAAAGTTGGGAAGTCACAGTTAAAATACTGTCGTCTTCTAAATTTAAATTTCGAGACTGTAAGATACTCTGGGGAGGTGGCTCTCCCAACAGTAAATATAGATGCGTCAAACGAGTGTGGCCGATTAGGAGACGGGTTAGTTTAACGTCTGCGTGACGCGTACGTAATGCAGGTTAATGGTTAGTATTTGGTTTAACTGAGTGCAGTTTGTTATTGATTTTAAGGTCCTAATGTTGTGAATGAGAAACTGCCGAATGTTATGCTTTATGTATGAGAAAGGTCCGGATACAGTTAAAACAGTGGTGGCAGATCGTACATACAAATCGTTCCCTGGTATAACTACGTGATTCGGTACCCAACAGAATAACCGTTATTGTGGAGAGTAATCAGCAAATGATTAATGAAACATAAAATTATATGAGTATTACTGCCAAAATTTTCCAATTGGCGCAAAACGCTCATACTGACGGAATATATGCTATACTTATGTAGATCGCATAGAAATTAGCAGCAGTGCAAAGAGAATGGCAACAGCTTCAGCAGTGAAGAGGGAACAAATATCTGGAATCTTGTAATTATCATCAGCGATAATGACACCGTTACGTACGGTAAGACCAAAGAGAGTATGCCTAATTACAATACAGAAAGTCACAAGATAGAAATTTATTGCCAACACACATCAAGAATCACTATATTGACAATACAATCAGCACTGATACAATTTAGAGATCCGTAGAATGTCGTCCTTACTCAAGGCAAACTTATCATTGACGTCAACTATTTTTCGACCATCTTTGGCGGTCATGGTTTTTAATCCATCGTAATGGCTCTTGCTGAAGACAGTTTCTCCATATAACATAACAGAATCGAAATCAAATGGAGACAACAGTTGGTTCTGCTTTGGTCTCAATTTAACAAACTGGTCCTCCATTCCTACGGAAGAAAAAAAACCTTAAATTAATAACTTCCAGATATATTATTCAAAAGACAGTTTTTCCAAATAACATAACAGAATGGAAATAAAATAGAGACAACAGTTAGTTCTGCTTGGGTCTCCATTTAACAAACTGATCCTCTATTCCAACGAAAACAACGGTTGCCAGCAATGTTTCACTATGTTAGCATCAAAATGCACGTTAATACCTGAAAGATATTTTGCCCTATCTCTGAACAAGCTGTAATGAGTGATAAAAATGTTTGGCGTAAGGGCGACCATTTAGCTATCCACGCCTAAAAATCTTTAGTGATTTTTTCCTAGTTGTTTTTATAAAAGACAGAGTTTGAACCTCTTGTGATGCTAAATTTTATCATTCTTAATCTAATGTTAAATAAATTAAACTAATTATTTAATATTTATTACATTTTATAAAGAGGCAAAGATAAATATTTTATTCTCTTCTTAACAATCAATGTAACTGCCAACTTATTAATTTAATACAAATGTATAACTCATTAATGCACTGTCGCGAATAAACCGAACATCCAAATCTATTTACAACCCTTTATTCTTTAAGTTACTTTATTTATCTTACCACAAAAATGTTTCAATTACAGGGCTATATTAATTCTTACACTTTTTTTTTTGATAATTAAGCTATAGTCAAATTATTTCAAATTTAATTGTACACACTTTCGATAAATCGAAAGCTATGGATCTCTTCCCATGTTCTTAGCAGTCCGTTGGGAACAATTCAATCACTTGTAATTTTGAATTCTTAACGTGAGGACTGGGGAGGATTTCACCCCATCGAAATTTACTGAAAACAATTTTTCCTAAGAATTAATTTGCATAAAAAAGGAGAGGGAAGAAAGGTGTAATTTCGAACCTTTTTGAATGTTTTCGTAGTGAATGTTCAAGTAATCGTCTCTATCTGATCGAGAATGTTCATGGAAGAATCCAACTGTGTGACCCATCTCGTGAAGTAGCGTTCCCATCTTGAAACATCCTGCTCCTAAAGACAGAGGCTGTTCACCTAGAGTTTTTCCAACATGAGAGTAGCACCTAAATACAATAAATAAACTTAATTTCCCTTTTTTTTATAATTCCTACACTATTAGTTCATACTCTCTCTATATATCTTGTTCAAACTTTCAATCGTTAATAAAATAATTTTTATTCATCCACTTTTTTCAAATACTAATTCGTTAATTAAATAGGGATGACCGAAAAACGAAATGGAATTTTCTGATGGGTTAAGCGTTAGTCATTACTTTAAATTTCACTATAAGCGATTCGGTTTTTCATATATTTTAAAGATAACATCAGTGATAATTTCTAACTTATAGCTCTATTTGAACAAAAAAAAAAGAGTTTATTGTGCACATTTAATTATTTTATATTAGCTGTGTCAGATAAATGTAACATTTTTGTTAGGAGTATCTTAAATTAAAACCTGTAAATTCATGGTTGAAATACCGTTGTCTAAGTTGATTGTATTTAAAGCACTGGGTCAAAATATATTTCACTGTTAAAATATTTGGGCATCTTGAACATATGGGAATAAATGTTTGTGGGTGAAACGTGTGTCCAATTCGTAATCTATAATTTTCTAGGCGCATTATTGGTTTAAAAGGGACAATTGGTGGTTGATTTTAAACAGTTTATTAATTGCACTTTGCCAGCCATGTTTTAGCTAATATACTATTTATAACATTTTTAATATCTGCATGTCAGTGGTCGGTTTGAAACGTTTAGACAGAAAAAAAAGGCTCTCAATCTTACAGATATATAGAGATATATTCGAAATGTTTAGAGTAAATTTAACGTCCATGACAATTCTGGTCATTGAGCTGGAATTTAACTAGTAATTAAAAGTGAATTCAAAAGTAATTAGTTTTTTTTAAAAATTAATTAGTTTACACAGTATAATTTTAAGTTTAATGATAGGAACTTTGCAACTGTATATTTTTTAAAAAAAATTGTAAATACAATTGTTTAATGTATGATACTTTTGTTATAAATAATGTATAAATTATTATTAGTCTCTCAGGCGTTAAACGTCAGATAAATTTAAAATATTAACAAAAATAAAGTAGTAACATTTAATGCAATCTCCTAACTGCTTTAGAGTCCTATATACTCCTTTGGATCTTGTATCATAAGACTTTACATTCAATCAATCAATCAAATTTAGAGTCCGAATGAAAATAAATCATTAAATTCTAGATCAACGGCCCGAATCGAATGGGACATTAAATTCATGTAATTGTTAAAAAGCGGAGTTTTTATCTTACGTTATTTTTCGTTAAATTTTGACATAGTGAGTTGCTGTCAGTCAAGAATGCCTTTAAGAAGACGAAGAAGCCATTGTCAACAGCTCACTGACTTTGAAGGCGGTCGCGTAATACGGCTTCGAGAAGGTGGATTTTCTTTCCGCAATATTGCAGAATGAGTGGATGGGAGAAACCACTGTGCATGATTTAATTTTATTTTATAACCGTCGTTGAACACCCGACCAAATTTTTCTGGTTTACGACTACTAACGTTCAACTCAGTAACCTTGTAATTTTGAAGCTAATCCAGAAGACAAGGAAGCTCCTGGTTGATTGATTGAATGTAGAGTTTAATGGCACAAAATCCAAATGTGGACATGCTGCGCCAAACAATATGTTTATACATGTCAAAATTGAAGTGCATACTTATTTTCCTAAATATAATTAAAAATTGATAAAATCATATACAAACAATCAACGGAAGTATTGGAATAAAATCACGTCAAAGTTAAAACACAGTAAAATAGTATAAAAGTAAGAATATCCTTCTAAAAATGAATAAATTCATGAACAGAATAAACTTATATACAATTTAAAGGAAGCTCCTGGATCAAGTATTGAAAGAAATTTGCTTTCCTGGAGGAATATTTGATGGAACTAACCAGCAGTGGTCAAGAAAAAGAATTGTTTCAAGATCAGATTTTGGGCGGCCACGTGGCATTACTCACAGGGAAGACCGCGTGGATTTGATATTTGTTCTTTGTTCACTGTCAAAAGACAAATCATGTTCACTGCGCAATCATTGTCAAAGGATGAATTGTTTTTTTTTATATATATTCTTCACATGTGATTCTCTAATAGACAGACAAGACTACAATAGCATAACTGCTCTCTATGCTGATGATACCATTTCATTGCTAATGAAAATGCATAAGAAATGCTTTAGTTTGCTTAAACGAAGATTACCTTCAAGTTGAATTATGAATGTGTATCGATCATTATTTCTTACGAAGCGAACTGGAGTGGTCCCGATCTTCACAGTATAAATGCTGTGACGTGGATTTGATATTTGCTCTTTGTTCACTGCGCGATCATTGTCAAAAGATGAATTGTTTTTCTTATATATTCTTTTCCAATAGACAGACAAGACTATAATTAGGACAGAGAAAGCAAAAATTGCTTTTGAAAAATGCAGTGTTAGTTAAAGTGAATCAGCTATGTTAGTGCCTCCATCTCAAAATGCAGAATTATCTTTGACGTGCGATTCTTCAGATCGGGCTATTGGATGGTTCTAAGCCAGAAAGAGGGCGATGAGTTCAAACCTTTGGCATTTTTTTTGCGTAAGTTTACCCCAAGTTAACAGCGTTATAGTGTGCATGATCGTGAATTATTGGCTATTTACGCGTCTGTTCGGCAATTTGCTTATTTGTTGGAAGGTCGCGAGTTTTCAATTTATACCGATCATAAATCTTTAATTTACCCATTTACTCAAAAGCATGAGAAATGTTCCCAGAATCAAATTCGAGATCTTGATTGCATCGGTCAGTTTTCGACGGATGTGCGTTATATAGCACGTTCACTTAACGTTGTAGCAGATGGTTTATCCACAGTATCCGAGATAGAAATGCCCACCCTGTTGCTTGTATTTAATGCACTGGTTTAAAATATGTTTCACTGTTGTAGTTTCTTGGCTTCTTGAACATACGGAAGCTGGTTCATCAAGTAATAAATGTTTATGGGTGAAACGAAATTCAACGAAGGATTCTTGAGATGTAGTAAAATGTATCATGTGCTAAATATTAAAGAGTTGAGAGAATTTACAACAAAGATAGCAACTTACACAACAAGGATTGGTGAATATGATAAAACTCATATTCATCAATCCTTTGGGGGAGTTATGCAACGGGAGAAAGATTGTGAGAACTATGACTCAGAAAAATATCACATAAATCGATAACTGAGAAAAATAATAAATCTATAACTCAGAAAAAAAAAGTGTTACATACTGAAGAGGAGAGTTATTTTTTTTCAGCACATTCCTCAATTACCATACACTAGTAGAATTTCTTATTTATTCCTTACCCTCTTCCGGCGAAAATCTTGACGTATTGTCTCTCGTCAGTTCTTGGAACAAATCGAATACAAGTCTTGTCTGCATAGTGTTTCATGGCTTCTTTAATTTGAGGTTCCTTTTCCTCTGTAAATAAATTAATACATTCCTCCTCTCACAAACAAGACTTAATTGTACACAATTTCCCGGTATTAGTGAAATGTAAGATAAGACTTTCAGCTTATTATGGTAAATTGTTATTGTACCGATCGTGAAACGAGTATATGTTTGAGAAATAAAAGAAACATCGTGACTTTCAGGAGGCAAGTGGGGTTTAATGGCACAAGAGTGTCGCCACAAACCATTGGTTGCAGCAATTATCATCATTTAGTACTTATTTTTACGAGGGAACAGCTTGCCAATTGGCTCCGTTTTAAGGGAAATTTTTTGTATGTATGATTCTTGATGTAGTAAATTTAGTTAAAAGTTATTCATTCCGACACTACGAATAAATAATTCGAAACTTCACATAAAACACATATTATCCTAGTTACCATATTCCGTATTATTTTTGCTTATTTTCGGGGGGCAGTTTTGCTTAACTTCGGTAGTTTACCGAAGCTGCGGTTAGCCACGTGGGAGAAGGGTCCCAATGTTAGATCCCTTAAGTTACCATTGCAGAGATGCCAACTTGCTCCGGACAGCAAATATATACGTATTTTAAAGAGGTAACTTATCAATTGTGATTCTCGGTTTAATAAATTCAATTTAGTAGATTTTTATCCACAAACTATTTATAAATAGCTCGTACGCTTATATATATCACAACTTTATAGTACTTAAGTCATGCTATACTTTTTAAAAGACAAGCAAAAATAGTCAAACATTCGCAAAATTTACTTAGTAGTTATTCACCGTTTTTTTTAATTATTTTGGCGTGTTCGGAGCAGTTGGCATCTCAGCCATTGTTCAGGCGCTGCCTCAATTATAATGCATCGCCCGTCACATGCGTATTAGTCTTAGCCTCGATATTTTGTACATATTTTCTTGTCCTTTATTAACTCTTATGTATATAGTTTTCACGATACCTTGTACATAACCAGTTTTTCATGTCTTATTTTTTAACCGGAATTATCTTAACTGTCTACTTCATGTTCAATTCTATTGGCTGTTTCATTCACGTGACACCTCAGGTTTGGCCTACCTGATCTTTAGGATAGTACTAGCGTACGTCTCCCCATTTTATTTTCTCCTTTACATTTTCATCTCGATTACATATATATTAATATAGCTTTTAATTATCCGACCCATAATACCGGAGAATCGTTAAGTGCCGCCTTTGGCGGCAGAAGCCGAAATCTTCGTGAATCCTAGTTACCTCCTTATGAAAGTACGAATGAGTTTAAGTTAATTAAGTTTGTAAAATTAACAATAATCTTAAACGTTTCAGCATTGAAATCTCGAACCATTTTATGAAATCTTTTACAGAAAGCCGAGCTGTTGGTATTCCTGTATGGGGTATCTTCTTCCTCCAAATCGCCAATCACCAAAAAGGGCTTGCTGCACTCAATCATTAAAAAGTTAATGCGTTTGCTAAAATGACCATAGACATACCTAGTTTCGTAAAAACAATTGTTTCTTACATTTTTGTATTCATATACGCATTCGAGCGAGTCATCGGTTCTCTCTGCCTCTCGCCAATATCTCGACTAAACAAAATATCTCGCCAATATGAAACTAAAGAAAATATTGCGAAAACTGTGTGCTTTTGTTCTAAGAGGAAAAGCTGTACGTACTTAGTGCTGGATCGATGATATAGGGTATTTTTCCATTTGGCCAAACTCTGTGTTTTTCTACGACAGCATTCCTATCCTATGTATTAAAAAAAAAAGCTTTAAACATAAGCTAGTTAGCTTTTATCATCTAAAAATATATTCTTAAATTTGTAAACAATTTGCTCCCCTTAATCTTTCCCTATTTATTTTTTCCTTTACACTTTAAACAAAAATATTATAGGATGAATTTCGATAAACTGTAGTGTTGCTACAACTCTCTTTCCTTTTTATGAGTATCAGTCAGCCTATTTCTGTCCAAACTGTTTGAGATAGCCTCTCTGTGAATAAATTAAGCAGTCTTGGTCTGCCAATTTTTGGGAAGGAGAAGAAACCTGGGAAGAGGGGCAGGGCAGAGGTGAGAAAGACAGGGCTAAGACCTGGTTAGATGAGTGGAAGGTGATCAGAAAAAGAAGAGGTTTTTGGTAGAAATTCTGAAGAAAAATATACATCTATCCTGAAACAATTGCTGCAACTGGACTGAACAATTGATATATGTATCCAGAGAATAATAACCTGATACCTACAAATAGTTTATCAGCTCCTCAAGATTTTAAGCCAAGTCTAGCACATGTGCAAGATAAGTGACTTTAAATTCAATTGACTCCAGCAGTGATTCATTTTCTTTAAATGTTCTTCAAATCTGTTTGTCACATGTTGATTTAGTTTAGTATAATTTGTTATGACCTTATTTTATTATGCCTCATGGTCAAATTTATTTTTATGAGTAAATCTTGATAATTGAGTTAATCATCATTAAAATAGCTTAAGTAAATTATCTCCCTTGTAATCATTATTTCTAGACAGATTTTGTAATCTTACTTTATTTGCATGTGTTGGTGATGATTTGGGATAAGCCTTAGTTGTAAAATGCATTAGTACTAAATTTAGCAATTATCCCACTACACTTTACCCAAATTGTCACCACAAAACACTGCAGTTAGTTCTCGTTTAAAGAACTACAGTATGTCTTTTTTGGTGCTTTATTCATCAGTAAGTCATGCTGTCAAAAATTGCCGTTGGGTTACATTGAAATAAGTCACCACTTCTCTAAAAAATTTCATAATTAAGTTGTTGTTGTTACTAATTCCCATCTGGTTTGACGGAGTCAGACCAGATCAATAAATTCGTTGACATTTAGGAAGTCCGAAACTAAAAGGGGAGAGGAATGAATGTCGTTCCAGTCCAGCCCTAAACAGTTCAAGATATGCTCAGGTGATGCCTGATTTTGTTGGCATTTAGGGCAAAGAGGAAAGATCTTTTGATTGGCAGAAAATGTGAGACTTTTCCGGTGTCCATTGGCCAGTCGGGATAAGCAAGTGTTGCTCTGCCTGTCACCAGGAAGAGATAGAGATAGTCTTGGTCTTTTTGCTTTATACCAGTAGTGGATAGGAGGAAGCAGCCACTTTTGTTTGTTCTGGGCCTTTTGCCTTGCTAAAAGTTCAAGGTATCATAATTAAGTAGAAGAGTTTATCGATATAAGATTCGCAGAAGTATTTACTCGCTTCGTTTTGTTCAAGGACTTCCTGCAACCTAAGAACTTTTCGTAAAAAACATAGTCTTAAAATCGAATATCATATATCAGAGTGTACTAAATATGAATTTAATATAGGAGGATAATCATGCGAGTATATCAGCTCAGTGCGTGAATGCAACTCTTAAAATTAGTGAAAACTAAACAAGTTTTTTAACCACGGATGGCGATAAACAGAAGAGAGAGGAAAATGTCACTGCATTTGAAGTGACAGTCAATTCACAAAGAATTAAAACAAATTTGCATCGCAATACGTAAACGAATAGCAATAAATTGGAGAAAAAAATGTGGATAACTTTACTTACAGTATGAGGGTCGAATCCAGCTATATCGCCTTCAAAAAGATCAGGATTTTGCATAGCTTCATCCCCAGCTACGTCTGAAAGCAATACGCTCGGTAAATTGTGTGCATACAAATAAAATTTATAACGTAACATTAAAATTTAACCGTGTAAACAATAAGGGTTTACATTACAATTAAGAGTAGAAACACATTTTGAGTATTTAAAAAGTTACTAACCATCCCCTATTTTTTTGATGATCTTTATATGAATCATTGAAAAAATGTATTTTATTAATCATAATATAAACGAATCGATTCGAGCCATTGAACCAATTAAGGTCGTTGAATTTCTTGTAACTTAATAATCATTCGAACGTAAGTCGATATTTTTAGAAATTATTTATTGTAGAGTGCGCTAAAAAAATGGATTACCCTGAATAACTTCTGACTTAATGATCAGATCTTCACGTTCTAGGACTCAATCTTAAGGGGGGTCAGGACCCTTAAAACTCTAAAAAAAAAAATCGATTTTTCAAGAATCATTTTTTTTTATTCCTTGCATTATTCTGCGCATTTTCATATCTTACATTTCGAAATCTTTCAATTGGTTCAAAAGTTATAAGGGTTAGAAGACAAGTCACTCACCAACAATTGCTTTAGTGGGCGTGGTCGCGAATTGCTTCATTTCGGGCTTATCTTATAGTTTCTAATAATAATCTGAGATTTAAAGTGTCTACAACTCAACTCTGCTCCAACCCTTTGCAGATTTTATTTGTTTATATTCGAATTGCATGCGTTTTTTAATCTTAGATTAATATTTGTACATTCGTCTATTAGCTTTCATTTTAGTCAAAAATCTAGTTTCGGTTTGATTTATTTATTATAAATAATCATGAATAATCCTCGTAGATCTGGTCAGAGACCAAAAAAGAGAAGATTTCGNAAAGCTTTAACCATAAGCTAGTCAGTTTTTATCATCTAAAAATATATTCTAAAATTTGTAAACAATTTGCTCCCTTTAATCTTTCCCTAATTATTTTTTCCTTTACACCTTAAACAAAAATATTATAGGATATATTTCTATAAACTGTAGTGTTGCTACAACTCTCTTTCCTTTTTATGAGTATCAGTCAGCCTATTTCTGCAAAAAATGCCTGTTTGAGATAGCCTCTCTGTGAATAAATTAAGCAGTTTTAGTCTGCCAATTTTTGGGAAGGAGAAGAAACCTGGGAAGAGAGACAGGGCTAAGACCTGGTGAGCTGAGTGGAAGGTGATCAGAAAAAGAAGATGTTTTTGATAGAAATTCTGAAGAAAAATATACATCTATCTTGAAACAATTGCTGCAACAGGACTGAACAATTGGTATATATATCCAAAGAATAATAACCTGATACCTACAAATAGTTTATCAGCTCCTCAAGATTTCAAGCCAAGTCTAGCACATGTGCAAGATAACTGACTTTAAATTCAATTGACTCAAGCAGTGATTCATTTTCCTTAAATGTTCTTCAAATCTGTTTGTCACATGTTGATTTAGTTTAGTATAATTTGTTATGACCTTATTTTATTATGCCACACGGTCAAATTTATCATTATGAGTAAATCTTGATAACTGAGTTAATCATCATTAAAATCGCTTAAGTAATTTAAAAATAATGATTACAAGGGAGATAAACAGATATTTTTATCTTACTTTATTTACATGTGTTGGTGATGATTTGGGATAGGCCTTAGTTGTAAAATGCATTAGTACCAAATTTGGCAATTATCCCACTATACTTTGCCCAAATTGTTACCACAAAACACTGCAGTTAGTTCTCGTTTAAAGAACTACAGTATGTCCTTTTTGGTGCTTTATTCATCAGTAAGTCATGCTGTCAAAAATTGCCGTTGGGTTACATTGCAATAAGTCACCCCCCCCCTAAAAAATTTCATAATCAAGTAGAAGAGTTTATCAATATAAGATTCGCAGAAGTATTTACTTGCTTCGTTTTGTTCAAAGACTTCATGGAACCTAAGAACTCTTTGTTAAAAACATAGTCTTAAAAACAAATATCATATCAAAGCTCATATTGGAGGAATATGAATACGAATATCATATTGGAGGGTACTAAACGTGGATTTAATATAGGGGGACAATCATGTGAGTATATCAGCTAAATCTCTTCAGTGCGTGAATGCAATTCTTAAAATTAGCGAAAGATAAACCAGTCTTTTAACCACGGCTTGCGATAAACAGAAAAGCGAGGAAAATGTCACTGCATTTGAAGTGGCAGTCAATCCATAAAGAATTAAAATAAATTTTCATCGCAATACGTAAACGAATAGCAGTAAATTGGAGAAAAAAATGTGGATAGTTTTACTTACAGTATGAGGGTCAAATCCAGCTATATCACCTTCAAAAAGATCAGGATTTTGCATAGCTTCATCCCCAGCTACATCTGAAAGCAATGCGCTCTGTAAGTTGCGTGCATACCAATAACATTTATTACGTAGCATTAAAATTTAACCGTGTAAACAATAAGGGTAAGCATTACAATTAAGAGTTGAAATGCATTTTGTGTATTTAAAAAGTAACTATCCATCCCTTATTACGATTATTTATTACAATTGAACCAATGAACGAATCGATTCGGAACGTTGAACCCGAATTCTTTGTAACTTAATAACCATTCAAAGTAAAAAAAGGACCACCCTGAATAACTTTTGATTTAATGATCGGATCTTTACGTTCTAGAACTCGATCGTAATGGCTCGAAGGGGGGATTTCAATAATGCTAATAAATAACTGCAGACGATATTTTAAGTTAAGAAATCAGACACAAAAACGTACTTTCACTGAATAAACATACTTTTATTTCGATGGATTCGGATTTCTGACCACCAAAATATTTCACCCCTTAATGTTAATTTCACTTTTCGCTACATCTCGAGAACTTATAGAGCGAATTTTAAAAAAAAATTGAACTTAATTATATTTGTTGCACGCCCCCATTGGTAGCAGTGCTAGACCAGGCCCATGACGTTATACACCCTCAAAAAATCCAACACCGTCAATGGGTCATCTGTTAAATCCTGTTTGGTGAACCCCAGGCACGCGAGAATGTGGTGAGGCGAAGCCTGGTCTGAAAAACAGTTGGTACAAATACTTAATTATATTCATTTATCCAATGATATCCAAATAAATTTTTGCATGGAATTACCTTTGGATAAACAAATTTTATAATTTGGTGCAAATTTTTCAATTCGTTCAAAAAGTTCTCGAGTTATAGCGATAAAGTGAAATCAAGTAAAAAGTAAACTTATCGTTAAGGGGTCCAAACTTCGGAGAGCTCTCCTGATCAAACTATTGGGACCATATTTCCCAGATTGCGGCTACCCCCTTAATTTTGGGGGTCAGAAATCCGAATCCGTCGAAAAAAAGGTATGTTTATTCAGGGAAAGTACGTTTTTGTGTTTGATTTTTCAACTTAAAATACCGTCTGCACTAATTATCATATTTGAGGTAATCCCTTCGAGACGTTAAGATTGAGTCTTAGAACATGAAGATCCGATCATTTTATCAAAAGTTATTTAGAGTGGGCCATTTTTTTTCTTTTGTTTTTTGCACAATATACGTAGTTTAATTTGAGGTTGAATTTAAGGTATATATAATACTTCATGTTTTGAATTTTAATTATTTTTAATAATACTATTATCATAACAAATTATTATTTGTTATATAATATAATGTATCAAATAAATCAATTTACTATAGTCTTTCAGAGGCTCACTATTTTGACAAAAATGTAAACCATAAAATAACTAGTTGAATGTATTTTTTATATCACAATACAATGAGTGTAAATATTGAAATTTAAAGCAATTCTAGTACTACTTAAGTCCTAGTGATTTTGTTAATTGATATGAAGTGGGGAATGTTTATTTCCACAAAATTAAAATCAAAATCTTTATATATTAATTAATTTTTTAATATATCTAATTTCAACCAAGTAACTAAGTTAAACTAAATTCTGGCTCAATGGCATGAATTCAATCAATTAATAAATTCATATAAATACAAATGAGCCATATTTTTTTTATCTACACTTAGATAATGTGATACCTTGAAATTTGTGGTAATACAAATATTTAATTGCACTTCACAGGACAAAATTCAGTGAGTGAGTGAAATCAATATTTGTAGTTCAATGATTTAAATGGCTTAATTTATGAAGAAAAAAAAAAAGAGAAAGAAAAAATTCCACTGTCCTAAAATAAAAGTAAATGCAAGTTTTCTAACTGTAAACATTTACAATTAATAAGTTAATATTTACCATCAATACTCCTGCCGTAGCATGTCGAAGCAAGTCCGATAATAAGGAAAATATATTTTAGAACCACCATTGTACACAGAAGAGATTGCCTGAAGATAAACCCCAATATGCACAAAACTAGTCTCAAGACAGAGGCTTTTTATGATTCCCCGTCGTAAAAAATTGCCGATAACAAGGATCCTATCACCTGTTCGGTAACAGAAGTTTTATTTCCCATCATTATCAGTATTAATTTAAATACTTTCTAGACTTGTTTCAGGAATAACTAATAGAACGAAATGGAAAGAGTGACGCGATGATAAAAACTTAACGGACGCACTAGACTCTGCTTAGATAAATAACAAAAATGTGAGCAAAAATATTCAGCAATTGAATTTTCTTACATAGAAATATCCAATTACTCATGAACTTAAATTGCGAAGAAAAATAAATAAAATGAATTACTATTTAAAATTGTTTTCTTCTATAATAAACTAAAACCCGTCAGCTACATTACTAAATATTGTAGAGTATTTATTAAACCATTGAATTGAATAGAATTATTGTTGAATACAGCTACTTTTAGGTGACGCAAAAATAAAAATATACGCGAATTGACGAAAAAGAATGATGCGAAGATAAAAATTTAAATGAAAAAAAACTATACTATGCTTAGATAAATCACAAAAATGTAAGGAATTATTCAGAGATATAATTTGTTTACAGAGAAATATCCAATTACTACTCATTAACTTAAATTATGAAGAAAAAAAAATAAAATATATAATTACTCTTTAAAATCATTTTCTTCAATAAATTAAAAATCGTCTGCGACATTGCTAAGCATTGTAGTGCAGGGATGAGCAACACGCGGCCCGTCAAGCATTTCTAAAATTGAATTTATTTTATCGACTTTCTCCCATATTATTGTTATAAAATTAATTTTAATAAAATGGTAGTACATAACTAAACCGAATTTTTTGTGACGAGTTACTCACCTGTCGGCAACTTGTTCAAACATGCAATACGAACGCACTGTGTCAGTGCTTGTTTGTGTTTGCTTCTGTGGCGGCAGCACTTGCAACCACCTCTGTGTTGTAGCGCCACCTATAGACAGGTTTGCCGCAGTTGGAAAGTGAGGCTGAAGAGGAAACAGTTGCCTGTGAACACTATCAGATAAAAACACCGGCCAATTCCTGACGAGTGACACACGTTGTTACGTCTGAAAGTTATAAGTCGTTGATATTGCAAATAATGTTAGAAATGTATAATTATAATGTGTAAACCTGTTAATTATAAATGTGTGTTCCGTGATAAATACATTTTATTGATTCATTCGAGACACTCGACACGTCTGTCACACAATCAGTCATACTGGTAAGCTGTTAACTAGCAATTTTGGCAATTCTTGTGTTTCTTGAAAGGCGTAAGTGCAATTCATAATAGCATGTCGGAAAAGCAAACAAAAGAACGGAAGGTTGCTGATGAGCACAGGCATTTCCAAGAAAAGCGGATATTTGATTTTTTTTTTCACTTTCGTCAAAGATAAAGCTGTATGTTTAATATGCTCAGAGACTGTGTCGACATTAAAAGAATATAAGATAAAAAGGCATTACGATACAAACCATGAACAACAATATAAAAACTTAACAGGACAAAGGACAACTCCGGATAGATAAGTTTAATCAAATGGAGATTTGATTAAAGTTATCAATCAAGCTATTTTATCAAATACGGCAGTAAAGGCTAGTTTTGTTGTCAGTCAAATACTGGTGAAAAAATGAAACCCTTTGCGGACGGAGAGATGATAAAAGAATGTCTGACTGCTGTTGCAGAAATAGCATTTCCTGATAAAATAAATATTATCAAGATTCACCATTGCAAGGAGAATTGCAGACTTGTCCGAGATCATAGCAACAACGCTTCGTAAACGCATTGCAAAATTCGAATATTGTTCTTTTGCGATATTAGCGATACAGCACTACTGGCAATATTTTTATGTGGTATCGACACCAAATTTAATATTAACGAAGAATTGTGTTCATTCAAGAATTATTGCATTTAGTTAAAAATTAAAATTTAGGTTAAATAGGATTACATTTCCATGTTTATTTCCTATTGTTAAATTTCATAAAAGTCCGATTAAATTTAGATTTATAGCGTGTGGTACTAATTGTTATAATTCTGAAATTAGTAAAAGGCTTTTTAGTTTTCTAAAAATTATTTTGCTTATAATTAAAAAGAGAAAAATATTGTTATACATAATAATGTTGAAGTTTTGGATTATATTAATAATAATATTTCCAGCATTAATACTTTTGATTTCGAAAATTTGTATACAAGTATACCACATGGAAAGATTGTTGAGATTTGTGACGGCACTCACCGGGAATCAGAAATTCCATGATTCTGTTTCTAATAGGAGACTATGAATAATTTCGATTTCGTATCATGGATTATTTGTGAACTATTTGACTATGTAAGAACAAACTTGATTTCGTAAAAATGGAAAAACTTAATAACAGAAAGGGGAGCGTCAAAGCTCAACTAGCTTGTCTCGAAACTTTGTTGGGTAAACCAGATGATGAATATAATGAAATTGACTTGGAACCAAAACTAAATAATATTGAAAAAAATTAAATCATCCGTTTGCATATTATGTGACAACTACTGTGACTTTGTTGAGAATGAAGCTGCAATGGATAAAGTAGAAGATTTGTTGGATATCGACTCCAGAATAGAAACATTAGAAGTAAGAATTAAAAACCTCATTAAAAATTGTAAAACAACTATTGCTATAAATAATACAAAAGATGATAAACAAGCTTCTATGTCAAGTTGCAGTAATTATCGTATTCCTAAAGTGCCTATTCCAACATTTTAAGGTCATTACTTAGAATTCGCAACATTCAAAAATCAATTTAATAGTGTTATTGGAAACAACAATATACATTATCTTTGTGTTTCGCTAAAGGAAGAAGCAAAGCTTTTGGAAACAAAAGATGATACATTTGCGTTCAATGCGTAACCATTTTGGCAGGAAAATGAGTCGGAGATTTTTAACAATTGAAGAGGCTCATGATAATTTAATGCCCTTGAGCAATGAATTTGATGACAGTGATCCTAAAATGGTAATATTGCAGCCTGATCTAGACGTAGTCACTGATGATGAAGACATTCATGACGCCTGCATAGCATTGAATGTGGACATGCTATATTTGATGAAAATGAATGAATGATCTGCTCGTTGGAATGATAATAGAGTAGTATTTGATTAGTACCAATTTTGAAGACACGAGCAGAAAGTATATATACCATGTGTTGTTTCTCATAAGAATGGAGTAGACTTGTTTGACAATCTCATGGAAACACAGTGTTCGTCTCTAGAAGGAAAAAAATGGTATTGGCCATTATGCATAAATGCATTTGAGATATCATTTGCAGCACGGAATCTTTCAAAACTTTTTATGCCTGAACAAACTCTAGAAATCCGCGAATTTCATCGGCACATTACAGTAGCTTACTTAACTTACTTAATATTGAGTGTACCTCGAAATATTGCAGGAAGGGACGGCTTAGAGGTTCAACCAAGAAACCCAGACTACTTGAAATTAGAAAATGAACAAATATTAATAAAAAAATCTTAATGGAAAACACCGTTGTCAGCTTAAAAATTGTACAAAAGAACCTAAAACTCTGTGTCAAAAATGTAATTTAGGACTTAGCGTTGAATGTTTTCTGACATTTCATGTTAACTAAGAGGTTTGATCGCAAAACATTTAGTAGTGGATTGTGTAGCAGTCAGGCACAAGCCTAAGCAGCTAGGCATAAGCCTCACCTTGTATGGTGAATGAGGTAAAAGCGTCAGTTTTTTATCTATTCACCAGCATTATCAAGAGGAGAGGTGGTTTTGAAGATGGTACGCTGTGTTCCATGCTGGCTGTCGTTGCATTCTTAATTTAATATTAATTTAACCTTAATCGGAATAAACATGTTGTAAATATAATTTTATCACTCATTGCTTATTTTTATTCAATATAAAATTATGTCGTTAATTTATATATACATACAAGTTTCTCCACACCTTAACAATGGTTAATCGGACAGATTGTACCATCGTCCTATATATAGGGCAGCTTGTAAATATTAAACCATTAAAATTTTGGAGAGTTTTTTGAATGTTATGTTTTACATGATGTTCCATTAGTATGTGATAGAATTTTCTTCAAAATATATATATATATATTTTTAAATGTGGTAAAATATGAGTTAAAAGAAACCGAAAATATTAATGAAATATTAGAGAAATTTTGGAAAAGTGAAACAGTTGATGAGGGAATTAAGGAAACTAAGAAAAAATATGTGAGTAACATTTTGTCAAAAATCATACCAGAACGGATTCAGGCAGCTATAAGGTTAAAATGCCAATGAGAGAAAAAAGTAATTCTCAATTAGGCGAATCTAAAGACAACGCTCCTCGGAGATTAAACTGGCTGTATAAACGTTTAGTGAAAGAACCAACCCATGCAGCAGGAAGGGGCAAATAAACGTTAAAAATGCGTTCGTTCGGTATAAGGTTTTGGACTTAACGTCAAAATTACGTCAATTTCACGTGATGATTTTCACCGTTTCTTCATTCGTTAAAACGTATGCGTTAAAATGACGGTATTTTAAAGCAATCAATTTTCCCTTTAAATATTTCGTTAAAACTTCGTACTAAAAATACGTTATTTTAACGTGCTTATTTTACACATTTTTCGACAGTTTTTTAAAGTCGTTTTACTAACGAAAAATTGAGGTTTTGTTGCATAGCTATATTTACGTTAATTTTTTGGGATAATACACGTAAATGCATAATTAAGTTCCAAGAAAGTTATTTAGTGCACTCAAAATAAAACAGATATGCAAAAGATAATACAAAATTTGTTTTATGTATAAATAGATGTATCACTACGCTGTCGTGGAATTTGAAGATGAGTATTCCACAATGGATATAGTTGCAATTTTTTGGCTAATAGGGGATGGGAAAAGAACCTATTGGCCAAGAAAGGGTTGTTCCATGCATCAAAAGAGAAACACACCTCCCAGTCAGGATTGGGAGGTGTGCAAGGTCAAAAGAGTATTGAGCCGAGCTAGTAAGTCTTACTTTTTCTAGACTGTACTATACATTTTACTTTTATT